AAAAAAAAAAAAAAGACTTCTTAGGCTGTCAGTTTTTCTTTCTCTAATTTGTTAGTTATAAATTCTAACTTCTAGTTTCAAAAACAGCTTCTTTACTACTTTCAAATCTCTCCTGGCCCCAACCTCTAACCAGAGGCCAGTTCTATCAACATCCCTAAAAGAAAAAGGTTTATTTTTGGCTCAAGAATAATGTAACACTGACAGCATTATGTAGATAATAAATCAGTAATTTTGTTGATGAATGAGACAATATACCTTACATACCTGCATGCTGGAAATGAGAAGACTGATATTGCTGATGTTTGTAGCAATACACACTTCCAAGTACTTATTTTTAATACACTATGGTAAAGAACTCCATCCTAATATATGTGAAATTCATTTAATCATTCCTCCCCAAACCAGTTTTCCCAGTCAACTATTCATTACTCTCCTAATGTTCCCATTGTGTAAAAATGGCCTTGAAATGGTATTTTCAAGTGAGGGGAGGGGTGACATTATCCAAAAAAAGAAATGTATTTATTACCTGCCTTATAAAACAATAATCCCTTTTTATGACATATTAATAACAATAAAATTCTATTTACAAAAAATGTTATCTTTCTTATAATGACAACATGCAGCATAACTAAATGATCGTTTGGGAATTAATTATATTGTGACATATGCATGCAATGAAATACTCTGTAGAATGGAAAAGAATGAGATAGATCTTATGTGAATACATAAAAATACCCAAAATAACAAGTAAAAACAAAGACTCAGTACAGGTAAAACAGAAGTAGGATTCCATTAGTTTAAATAACATATAGGACACTTATAGATAGCTTATAAGAAACATAGGTCATATGTCAGCCATTCATACCTGTAATCACTCAATAGTCTGAGATCTGGAGGATCACAATTTGAGACCGGCCTGAACTACGGAAATAGTCCACTAGATTCTATCTCTAAATAACTGCAAAAAGTAGGACAGGAACAATGACTCAAGTGGAAGAGCAACAGTGAGCAAGAGTGAAGCCCTAAGTTGAAAGCCTAATAAGATCCACACATGAAAAGCATTTCAAGGAGTCTCACAATAAAGAGAAGTCTCACAAGGTAGAAGTCTCAACAAGAATTTGTTTTAGTGTAACAGGATAGAGGAAAAACATTTCCTATTCTCTATGTAGGATATAGTCTATACTTGTTGTTGTTGTTGTTGGTCGTGGGGCCTGAACTCTGGACCTGGGCACTGTCCCTCAGCTCTTCAGCTCAGGGTGAGCACTCTACCACTTGAGCCACAGTGCCACTTCTGTCTTTTTCTGCTTATGTGGTACTGAGGAATCAAACCCAGGGCCTCATGCGTGCAAGGTAAGAACTCTACCACTGAGCCACCTTCCCAGCCCAGTCTACACTTTCTGAGCTGGGGAAATACATATGGACATGGCATCCCACAACCTCTGATCATTAGACATTGGTCTAGGTGCCCAAAATTGGTGCTGTTTATTATTCTAAAACATGGAGATATGATCTAGTCCTTCCCAAAAACCACTGGGACAAGAGGGTGAGTTTCAGGACTTCCCTTTGAGAAACATGCCTCCTAATTTTCTCTTTACCTTTTTCTTCTTAATATATGAAAGTAGAAAGTAGATGCAGATGGATCCTTTATGTCTCCCTCTTCTTATAACTTCACATCTAAAAGGAGATGAAGGGAAAGCTTGCTGCTCTGTTCTTCAGTTATTACTTCCTGGTACTAGTGGCTGAGTCTGCCCTTTTAATATTTATTAATTTCCTTGTCATTTCATCTATCTATGCTTCCTCACTGCTATCAAATTAAATCTTAAAATAGAATTTATTACCTATCTCTCAAAATAGGTCACTATTCTATCAAAATTCAGCATTGTTGGCTCATGCTATCTCAATCACATAATCAAGCATTCTTCCCACAGATAAATAATACACATAGAAATGAAATGCTAAGAGTTAGGATGGCTGCTAAAAACATAAGAGGAATGAAACCAGGCCTCTCTCATTAATGAACTCAAATCTAATGGAAAGACAATAAATCAATAAATTACTAAAATATAAGTACTACAATGGAATTATTCATATATAACAAGCTATGGAAATATAGGAGAATTTGAGATAGAATAAACTATGTGCAATAACACTTTCTCATTTCATCCATTTATGTTTCTTTATTGATTTTTTTGGGGGGTCCGGTTTTGGGGGCCTGAACTCTGGGCCTGGGCGCTGTCCCTCAGCTCTTCAGCTCAAGGCTAGTGCTCTACCACTTGAGCCACAGCACCACTTCCGGCTTTTTTCTTTTTGCTTATGTGGTGCTGAGGAATCGAACCCAGGGCCTCATGCATGCAAGGCAAGCGCTCTACCACTGAGCCACCTTCCCGGCTGTCTTTATTGATTTTT